TACATCTGATAGAGCACTAATTTCCAGGATATATAAAGAACTCAAAACACTCAACACAAAAAGAATAAATAACCAAATAATGGGTTAAGGGAATAAACAGACACTTCACATAAGAAGATATACAACTGACCAACAAATATAAGAAAAAAATGTTCAAGTTCACTAGTAATTAGAGAAATGCAAATCAAAACTAAGATTCTATCTCACTTGAATCAGAATGACAACTATCAAGAATACAAGCAATAATAAGTGTTGGCAAGGATGTGGGAGAAAAGGTACACTCATACATTGATGGTGGCACTGCAAGTTAGTACAACCACTCTGGAAATCAGGTATGAAGATTCCTTTAAAAATGTGGAATGGAACCACCATTTTACCCAGCTATCTCACTCCTCAGTCCATACCCAAAGGGCTTAAAATCAGCATTCTATAGTGATACAGACACATCAATGTTTATAGCAGCTCAAATTCACAATAGCTAAACTGTGGAACCAACCTAAATGCCCTTCAATAGATGATGGATTAAGAATGTGGTATATATACACAATGGAATATTGCTCTGATTAAAAGAAAATAAAATTATGGCATTGGCAGGTAAATGGGTGGAGTTGGAGAACATCATGCTAAGTGAAGTAAGCCAATCGCAATAAACCAAAGGCCGATGATGTTCTCCCTGATTAGTAGATGCTAATCCATAATGGGGCTGGGGACATGAGAAGAATGGAGGAATTTTGATTGAATAAAGGGGAAAGAGAGGAGGGGAGGGGACATGGGCATAGGCAGGAAAGATGGTGGAATGAGATGGACATCATTATCCTAGGTACATGTATGACTGCATATATGATTCAACTCTATATTATATGTCACCAGAGAAATGAAAAGCTGTGCTCCACTTTTGTACAATGAACCAAAACGTATTCTACTGTCATGTATAACTAATTAAACAAAAATAAATATATATATATACAAACACATGCTCCTAAAGAGAAACATCAATTATTAATCTTGATTTTGAATTCAATTTAACAAGGATATTTCCAACCAAGAATATTATGTTTGCATACAAAATATATTTTTCTTTTTAGCTGTTACTAACTCTACAATATATGAATGATATAAAGAAAGAAAGAAAAAACAAATTAAGATTTAATCCTGCTTTTATTACTGTAACTCCAAACCAAAGGGGAGAGATTTCAATTTTGTTCAACTGTGCTATGCTAAGTGAAGCAGGTATTGCTAGAGGCAATTTGGTTTAGTTGGCTTAATTCAGAGAGCATAAGCTTTGTTGCCACCCATTTGTTCAATTCACTATGTTTAAGGAGCATCTACTATATGTGAATAAGCTATTTGCAATCACTAACTTCTTACAGCAATTCACAATGTGACACAGTGAACACTATGCAGAGGAGTTTTAACAGTTGACATTCTGAACACCACCTATATAGAAAGCCCTGAAGTCAGTATCAAGAATGTTGATATGAGTAATAAATAAATAAATAAATAAATAAACAAACTTCCCTTGTGTAAAAAATATGTAGACTGGTGGAGAGACAAAAATGTGAGGCTCAATGTGATTATCAAAGCTTTCACAGTCAATACCTAATGTTGACACACTAAGAATCAGTACCAAATTTTTCCTGAATAAGGGACCAGGAGTGGAATGAGAAAAACAGGAAGAAAACACCTCCTGCTTATATGTGCTAACAAGAGAATTCTTCTTCAAAGTCTCTCCAAATGTTCTTTTCTTCTTTTTTTCTTTTTATACCTATGGTAAATTTTTTTAAATAAACTTTTTTTCTCTAGACAGTAAGAGAAAAGCTGTATAATTGCTAAAATTTGGTTGCATTTTTTCTGACCTCTTTGATACAGTTTTATATTAAATTGAATTAACATTTGCTGTATACCCTCCACATGCAAAATATAGAGCTGACTATGACGTTACCATCGTCCACATTCTGGTAATAACAAAAATCTAACGAGTGTGTGTTGGATGCTGTGAGGAGTGCCCCATTGAGAAATGTGGGTAAAGGGAGCTCCAGAGTGGAGACAGATTTCCCTCTGCTCTGCTACACATACAAATATGAATCTCAGTAATCTTTTCTCCCCCCCACCACTCCTTTTTTTATTATTATTTTTTTGGTTCCAGGAATTGAAACCAGGAATGCTTTATCACTGATGAACTTCCCAAGCCATTTTTTTTTTTTTTAATTTTGAGGCAGAGTTCTACTGAGTTGCTTAGGGCCTCACTAAGTTGCTGAGGCTGGCTTTGAACTTGTGATCCTCCTGCTTTGGTCTCCCGAGTCACTAGAACTACAGGCATGCACCACCATGCCTGGCAATCTTTGTCTTAATATTATAATAAAGTCATTTTCTATGCTGAGAATTGTTTTTTGTAAGATTCTTATAATGTTCTACCAAATGAATTAACTGTCCTTTAAAGAGAACTTCAGTTGTTTTAAAACATTCATGATTATAAATAACTCTTAAATAAACATCTTTCAATATTAAACAATTCTAACTTTTCCTTTGGCCTTAAAAATACCATTAGTGGCTCAATGTGTTCCAATTTCTTCCCCAAAACCACTTCCCTTATTTTACATACATGAGAGCTGATGCCCAAAGGCATTGAGCTGTTTGGCCATGCTAAAGCAATTAATAAACCGTTGGCTTGGAGTCTGGAATGCAGATCAAGTAGTTTCCAGGGTGATGCCCAAGGGCTTCAGGAGAAAGATATTCCTTAAGATCAGGGTTTTTCAACCTTAGTGCTATTGATATTTGGGTCAGATAATTCTTTCTGTGGGCCAGTGACCTGTGTTTATAGGATATTTAGCAGTAACCACACCCTCAACACAATCGATGCCAGTTGTAGCCACTGCACATACACCAGTTATGACAAACACAACTGCCTCCAGACATCACTAAATGTGGTATGTGTGTGTGTGTGTGTGTGTGTGTGTGTGTGTGTGTGTGTGTGTGGATGGGGTGGTAACAAAATTGCACCCTGCTGAGAACCAGTTGCTGTAGGAGACTCCTGCAGCAATGGCCCTCAGTGTCAGCAATACCATTTGGAAGGCATCCTTTTGTACACTGAAAAAATTTCAACTCACAATTGTACGTGGACCAAAGAAACAAGTATAACTTACATATTAAAACTTAGCAAACTCATGCTAAAATCCCTATAAAAGCCTCAAAAGTAGAGTACTCTAAAGGATAAGAGGAAACCTATTATTCTGGAAGGCTTTTAGGATTCATCCTGTGTCCAGGATAATATATGATCCACATTGACTGTAAAAGGAAGGAAAAGAACATAGAAACAGACGCCAAATCCATGTCTTATATAGTCTTCCAAGCTGTGCATCTCCCAGGATTTCTGTGAGAAGACAACTACTTGGAGAGCTTGTCTACCTGGCACTGGTGTTTATGAGCCCTTAGGTAGTGAAGCAGGGTCTCCAGAAGACTGTGCTTCTCAGCAGGGGAGACTGTAAAGCTGCAGGGATCGATTTCAGCTAATGCACAGGTGTCTCCTTTCTTAGAACACAGAATTAAGGAAACCAAAATCTTGTAATAGACCTCATGTGTGCTTATTGGCCATGTCTCCTCTTGCTTTCAAAGGACCATGAGAAAAAAAAAAAAATGCTACTGGATCTTCCCAAGCCCATTCAGCACAAAGTAAGCAGGTTTTGGCAAATATGTGTATGCTTTCATATGTGTATAGAAAAAAAAAAAAAGAATCAGAACACAGTAGAAATTGGCCTGAACATTGGATTAACTGTCACTTGATGCATAGGTTTAGCTTCTTTGTCAAAGGAGGCCAGCCCTGCTGTCCTTCTCATACATGTCTGCATCCTGGTAATTTGCATTCCAATAACTGAATTCCTGACCAACAACACATAGACTCCTAGGTATAGCAGAAGGAATTACTAGCTGAGTGCTCCTGGGCAGACTCCTTCACTTCTCTAAGCTGATTTGCTTAACGGAGTACCTAATTCTCCAGGTTGCCTTAGGATAGAGTAAGATGATATATAACTATATAGCACAAGATCTGCTGTATCATAAATCAATAAATGTTGTTCTTTTTTCCCCTTGATCACTCTTCACTAGCCAAAATTGAATTAGGCAGCACTCTTCTCATCTTGGAGGACTTTTTGACATTTTGCAAAATACACTCTTGAGTTAAAATCCAGGATAGAGTTGGATGGTAGCCTCCATGAGTGAAAGGATCATCCAATCTTATTCTCTACTATATTAATGACAGCTTGGTGCTTGGCATATATTAGTTTTGTCCAAAAAAATCTTTACTAAAAGAGCAAAAATATGAATGAATAAATTGACCAGACAAGAGTGTTGGTCTCAGGAAAGGAAAAAATAACATTTGTTCAGTGCCCATCCTGTGTTAATATTCTTGGTATAAATTTACCAGTTACTGATTTATTCCTTTTTTTTTCCAATTATTCTCATTTTTCAGAAAATGAAACTGGTGGCTTAAGTAACTTGGCAACTAGGTAGGTTTGGCTGAGTTTGCAAGCTACGTTGGTCTAATTCTAAGCCAGCTATGGAAAACCATGAGATTAGGAGCTATTTAAAGTGGGAAGTGATTCTTAATCATTTTTATATTCTCTCATAAGTTGAACTGTGTTCCCCCAAAAACATGTGTTGAAGTCTCAGCCATTTGTAACACATAAACACTTTATTTGAGAATAAGATCAATGTAATTAGTTAAGATGAAGTTAAACTGGAGCTCTTCATCCATTGATATTTGCATATTTCTAAGAAGAGGAGAGAGACAAATAGGAAGAATATGGACATGCATGATGGGGGAACAGAGCATTGGGAGGGAGATGCATCTACAAGTCAAGGAATGCCATGGGTGGCCAACAAACAACCAAAGCTAAAAGATACAGGAAGGATTCTCACCTCCAGGTTCCAGAGGTATTATGTCATCACAGACACCTGGAGTTCATGCTCCCAGCCTCCAGAGCTGTGAAACAATGCATTTCCATTGTTTTAAGCCACCTTGTTTGTGAGGCTGTTATGGCACGGAAAGTTAATGCATGTTCTCCACAGAATTGCCAAACACATCAGAGGATTTCCATCCTACATGTCGAACTGCTCTGAGAAGAATGCTCTTCTCTGTTGCTGGAGTAGAGAGACCATTCTGAGGTGTTATTAATGAATTTAAATCATTTCTGAGGGTCCCAGTTAACCAAGATTCTGTGATCTTAAAATCTGAAAAGCATGGAGGAGAATGATTCTGAGACTACATTACCACATTTGGAGGTAAGGCTGTTTCTTTTTTTTTTTTAATTAATTAATTAATTAATTTATTTATTTTTATGCTGTTTCTAGTATACTTAGATTTTTGTAAATTTATCCCATCTTGCAAGGTCTAGCCATCAATTAGATAAAGAATTTTTTTAAGTGCTGCTCGGGTCTGTCTTTATAAGTTATTCATTATTCTAATAATGTTCATCCTCAAGGTTCATTGTGTGTGTGTGTGTGTCACCAATGTTTAGTCCTAGCAGGGAAAATGTATATTTCAGAAATGAAATTCTCACTTAAACTGAGGAAGTAGGAGCAGCTGAAATTCGCCAAAGCCTCCAAAATAGCCCCAGACTCCTCACTTGCTCTTGGAAGTGTAAGAAGTATTGCATGACCACAACTGTGGAAACTACCAGAGCCCCATATAAGGCAAATTTCACAGATTTAGCATTTCTTTCCCTGTGTAGGTCTTTGTGGAAATAAAGATCCCCAGCCTTTTTATTGTTAAAACAGTCTCAGTATTTTTTTCTGATTATACCCCGCTCCTGGATATTGATTTATAATTTTCATAAAATGGCAAATAGGAGCCCGCTGTGGAGAGCAGTCATAAATTATGAAAATGGGTTCACCTTCTCTCTAAAGATTGATCCTACAGGGAGAATTTCACAGAGTTAAATTTACGTTTTGCGCAAGTTTGCGAGGATTGGTGTTCTCAGTTTTCTGATAAGGAAGGGAGGGAAAAAAGGAACTAATATTTGCTGTGAACCTACCAGGGACCATGTTCTTTGTATATTACTAAATTTAATGTTATCAACACGATAAAGCACAATTACCCTCTGTATTGACAGAAGACAAACTAGAGGCCCAGAATTGTCACTACAAGAATTCCCCAAGGCTGGTGAAGAAGCAGAGTCAAGCTTCAAACTTAAATTCATCCACTTATGAAAGCTGAGCCTCTTCCCACTGATGGTGTGCCCTTTCTAAAGTGGGATAGAAATTTCTCTGATAGGGATGGACAAGGTAGTATTTATTAATGTCAACCTAAAACTTGTGCTCTTCCAAGCTCTGACAGATTTGCTCCATGGAGCCATTTAAAAAATCCACTGATGGCAAGGGCCATAAATGGATACTTTCTTTATGCACAGTTATAAGTAGCTCTTTTAAAATCTAGGTAATATCTTCCTTAAAATAAGTATCAGTTTTCTGAGCATTTATGCTCTATCACTCTTGGTTTTCTCATCCTTGACTCCATTAATAGAATTCCTCTTAATTCCTTTTCTCTTTTTATGGCTTTGCAAGGGGCTAATTTGCAGGCAAAAGTGCTAATTTTACAGTGGCTTTCTGCTTTGTCAGCACAAGACTGAGGAGTTATTAACAAAAGAATAGGATTCCCTTTTCATCCTTTTTGCTCTTGACTGTAGCAGGAGGTGGGATAAAAGTCCATTATTTAAATAACATTTGTTATTCTTGAAAGGTCATCATTCTGGCCTTTCAGTTTCCACTAAACTACAGCAGAATCAGCAGCAACAGCAGCCACTTTCTCTTCCTGAAAGACTTCTGGAATTCCTCCAGGTAGCGGTGGTTGGAGTTAAGACTATCTTTGTGATCCACCTTGGAAATAGGATCCAGGTCGGGAAAATCTTTTAGTATGTTTGAGCTTTATCCAAATAGTAATTTCTAGCCATAAGTATTTGTAAGATGCCCTGTGTCACCTGCAGGCAGATTCCTGGAGGGGATGCTACATGGAATGTATCAGTTAGAAATTGCATGTGACTGCTAGTAGCAGAGAATAAAAACAACCAGTGGCCTAAACAAGAACGAAATTTATTTTTCCCATAAAATGCATTTTAAAATGGTCATTCGGGATGGGTATGGTGATCTTCCACTACAACTGGGGACTCAGGCTTCTTCTGTCCTTCAGTTTTACAGTCACTGTCATATGGTTTCCATCTTCCAGCCTACCCCGTGGTCCAGGACATACGTGATTCTAACCAAGAAACATTCTGATGTGACAATGAAGAACACAAGAGGACAGATGACTACCTATCAATTTCTTGCAGAGCTTTCCCAGAAATCCCCCAATAATTTATATTCATAAGTCCAAGCTGCAGGGCAGGCTGATAAATAGAGCCCTTTTTGCTAGTACTAAGAAAGCTACAGTTTTGTTACTCAGAAGATAAGGTAGGATGATGTTGGAGAGGCAAAGAGCATGTCCACCACATAGAACAAAGAGAATAACTAAATAAGGAAAGCCAACAAAACTTTACTAAGCTCCTTTTTTTTTTTAATCTAGAAATGAAAGAACAGAACATTTGAATTTGTTCCTTCAAAAAGCTCACATACTTTTGCTCATGTTTTCTTAACCTAGAAGGTTTCTTCCTTCCCTGCTCAATTAGAAATCTTCTAATTACTCATGGTTCTTCTCAAACCTCACCTGCTGCAGGATGCTTCCCAGAGTTTCCGCCTTCAAGTCCCAGGAAAATGTCAGTAACTGCTCAGCTCTGTGACTATAGAACCACTTATGTCCTCAGGGGCAGTATGTGACAGTGACAATTGCAGGAGAAGCAAACACTGTGGGCTTCAACTCCTAGGTCTGGCACTTTGGGATAGATATTTTTGCCCTTTAAGCTGCAGTTTCCTGTCTTTGGAATAGGGAACATTAAATCCCATCACCGGGGCTTCTGTGATGATTAAATGAGATGATACATGCAAAGCAATACTGAAGGAGATCCTCACAAAACCCTAGACTGTCTTATCACACATTCTCAACTGTTTGTTAAAATAATTAACAATAATTAATAATTATTAAGGTATTATAGGTTTGCTTTTGTTTTGTTATCTTGACCATATTCAACTGAAATTTAACATACTAACTAATAGTGTTTATGGTGATTGAGTATTCATATACCTTTCACTTAAAACCCTACTTGAACTTCATCTAAAGGAGAAAGACAAAAATTCAATAGTCAAAAATTGGGCAGTTTGATAATTATAATTATACAACAGTCTCTTGGAAATAAAAATTTTATAAACTTATCTAGTGTGAAAATAATAATAAATTAATATAAAATAAGTATACTAGTTCTAGGTCATGTAATAAAAAAAAGAGTAGAAATGGTTGAAAGTGAAAATACAAAATTGTTCTCATTTTTTATGGGACAGACTCAATAGATAGCATTCTGTAGCAGATGGTGCTAATCATGAATATATATGTGAGCATCTAACTTTAAATTATAAATATAGCCATAAATGAAGCTAAAATCAAACTACTCCTTTCTAATCATGAGATGAAAAGAACAAAGGCAAGCTCTCAAGCAATAGCTAAATTTTTAAAGATAAGGAGAAAGTAAGGACCTGTAAAAAATAGTGAAAGTGTAAATGACAATTGCAACATCAAAATCATTTGGAGAAAACAATAATTTGTAATTCAATGAAATAAACCATTAAATTTTATTTTAAATGCTTACACTAAATCAAAATGAAACTTATGTGCCTAAAAAAAAGACATCTTGGAACACTTTGATATAAAGGAAGGGTAGGAAAAAGGCAGGATAATGAAAATTTTGACAATACATTTTTATTATTCATTATTACTACCAGACAGACTTGAAATCAAGGTAAAATGTCCTAGACAAGTAGGTTTACTAAACATATAACATACATTGAGACTAGAACCCTAATAATCTATTTTCCCCAATAAGTTTTTAATGCATTAAATAAATATAATCAAAATATATGAAGTAAAACTGATGAAAATTTAGGTTGAGTAATCTCATACTTTGGGGTACAGAGATAGCAAATGATACAATAATTTGGCATAATGGATAGATATAACTAATACTGGAGAAATATCTAGACATACTAATTAAAATAGAGTTGAGTTTAATCTTCTATAAGCATGAAATGCATTACTTTTCAAGGACTGAATAATACTTTTAACAATAATCACATATTAGGAATTTTACAAAACTCTATGAAACTCAGAAAGTAATATTACTACATATTATATTTTTAGACAAAGTGCAACAATGTTGAAAACTAATAACAAAGCAGACATTAAAATATTTCAGAAATGTAAACATGACTTCTTATATATCAAAAGAAGGATATTAAGAAAATGCCTGCAAGTATCTCAAAAATTATAAAGTGAAAATACTGATATTGAAGTTTATTTAACTTTACCAGGGATATTCCACGAAAATTCAAAGAATTTCAGTAGGTTAAAATGTATTAATATATTTAAGTAAGATTTAGAAAACCAATTAAATAGTGTAATTGCTAAACAAAGCCAAAATGAATTCTCTTGAAGAAATAAATTAGCCACTAATTTGCCTAAAAAGAAAATGAAAGTAAACAGCATATGAAATTAGAAATGAAATGAAGACAGATATCTTAAAGTTACAGGTGAAATGACTCCAAATAATATTTGTGAAACTCTATCATAATACTTTACAAAGTTAGGGATGAAATTGACTATATCCTAGGGAAATATATAGGTTTTAAAGTAGATTCAAAGAGGGGAAAATGTGATTTTATTCTGTAAATATGGTGTACTAAAAATTTTATCAATCTTCTCACTGTAAAACATTTAGAAATAATGAATAAATTTTTAAAGTAAAATTATAAATATAGAACTGAATTTTATAATGTAAGCAAAATTCTTAATGATGAGAAATTAAGCACAAATACAACTCAGACAAACAAATACCATGATAGGCAGCTGTTGTTTGTATATTTATAAATGCAAATATTTATTACAACTTACCATCTACCCAGTGTGAGATCACAAGACCCAGGGCCAGTTCAAGGTGTAGAGTAGGAAAGGAAACACCCACAAATAGGTGAGTTCCCCAAATTACTATATCAAGTGTGAACAAAGAAGTAGGAGGAGGAGAAGAAAAGATAGAAAGGAAGGAAAGGAGGATGGAAGAAGCCCACTCGGAAAGTTAACTCTCAACTGTCGACAAAAATGGGAGGGAAAAAAATTTCCTATGAAGAATTATTGCATGTTGGCAGAA